TCTTTTTTTTTTTTTTTTTTTTTTTTTGAGGCAGAATCCCTGTTGCCCAGACTGAAGTGAAGCAATTACAACTCCCTGTGACCGCTGCCTCCCAGGCTCAACTGATCCTCCCACCTTAGCTTCCTGAATAGCTGGGACTATGTGTGTGTGCCACTATGTCCGGCTACTTTTTGTATCTTTGTAGAGAAAGGGTCTCACTATGCTGCCCGGGCTGGTCTTGAATTCCTGAGCTCAAGCAACCCTTCTGCCTCAGCCTCCCAAAGTGCTGGATTACAGACAGGAGCCGCTGTGCCCAGCCTCACATTTCTAATCCCAAATTTGGATTCACAGATTCACCTTCAAACCCAGCCCTTGCTTTAGTGTTTTAGTCCCCAGGGAAATGAGCTCTCCTCTCTTTCTCAGACCCAAGTCTCAGTCTCAGACGCAAACGCCTAATGACACCCTTCGACTCTGCCAGTAGAAAAAGGCACGCTTCCTCCCCCACAGTCCTGATAAGGCATTCCTGGCTTCTCTTTCAGCCCCTGTCTGTTGACCTCCGCTTCTGTTTTTTTTTCCACAAAGTTCCACTGTCCAGGGCGTCAGGCAGTCCACGCTGGCTGAGCGCTCACATTTATCTGACACCTGCTTGAAGCAAAGTCTGCTAGATGCTTTACGTGCACAAACTACTTTGATTGGCACAAGTTCGTTACTATCCCCATTTCACAGATAAGGAAACAGAGGCTCAGAGAGGTTTGGTAACTTGCCTCTAAATCTGAACCCTTAAGATGCAGTATCAGGGACAACATTCCTAAAACCATCTAGCTGGCCTGCATCAGAATCACCCAGGGATCTTTGTGAAAAATAAGGCTGTCAGCTGGGCACAGTGGCTCACGCCTGTGATCCCAGCACTTTGGGCAGCCGAGGTGGGTGGATCGTTTGAGCCAAGGAGTTCAAGACCAACCTGGGCAATATGGCAAGACCCCATCTCTACAACAAATACAAAAATTAGCTGGGCGTCGCGGTGTGTGCCTGTGGTCCCAGCTACTTGGGAAGCTGAGTTGGGAAGATCTATTGAGCCCAGGAGACAGAGGTTGCAATGAGCCAAGATCACACAAGTACACTCCAGCTTGGGCAACAGAGGGAGACCCTATCTCAAAAATAATAATAATAAAATAAAAATTTTAAATAAGGATGCCAGTGCCCCACCTTAGACATGCAGAATGGGAGCCCTGCATGTAAGGTGCCCCCACATTTTGGGAAGGACCCAATACTTTTTCCTATGTTGGGCTGGAGGGTGCCCTATTTTCAGATGGCAAAGTTGTTCGGGGCAGTGCCCTGCAGGGTCTCCAGGTGGTGCTGACTGGCAGATGAGGTGGGCAGGGTTGGGGGTGGGGTTGGTGGCTCCTGAGGTCAAAAGAGGCCCACTGACTGTCATTTCCTCCCCCATTCAGTTCCGGGAGAACCTCCAGGACCTTCTTCCCAGAGTGCCCAATGCTGATGACTACTTCCTCCTGCGCTGGCTGCGAGGTGAGGCTGGCAGGGGTCAGGGGAGGCAGAGAGGGAGGGAAGGAAGGAGGGTCTCAGGAGAGAAGTTGGTACTTTGGGGAATGGAGCTGTAGAGTAAAGAACACAGACTCTGGAATCAGCTTGCTTTGGCTAGAATCCAAGCAAGACTCTGTCTCCAAAAAAAGATAATGAAAAGTCAGATACCATTCAAAACAGCAACAAAGCTCATAAAATAACCCAGGAGTTTATTCTAGAAGACACAGACCTATACAGAAAAAAATCTTAAAATCTCTGAAGTATATCGAACTGCCCTGTTCAGTTTGATACCCTCTAGCCACATATAACTATTACAATTAATTTAAATTAAAACTCCAGGTCCCAAGTCACACTTGCCATGTTTCAGTTGCTCTGTAGCCTCGGGCAGCTAGCGGCTACCATAGTGAGCAGCTCGGGTATAGGACATTTCCATCATCACAGAACGTTATCCTGGACAGAATGGACACAGAAGATGATTTTGACAAATACATAGCTTAGAGTGAAGATTGGTCGGGTGAACTTGGTGGCTTGTCTTCAAATATTTGCAGAATTGCCACACTGACAAGGGATTACATATATTTGTTTGACCTCTGAAGACGGGGCTGGAATCACCACAGGGCAGATTTGGGTTCAGTCAAAGCTGCTGAGGAATGGAATGATAATGACTTTTGTGGTAATGAACTCCCCTTCATGGGAGATAATCAAGGCTGAGCTGTTGCATTGGGAGTTTTTTTTTTTTTTTTTTTTGAGACATGGTCTTGCCCTGTCACCTAGGCTGAAGTCCAGTGGTGCAATCTTGGCTCACTGCAGCCTCCTCCTCCCAGGTTCAAGTGATTCTCACACCTAAGCCTCCCGAGTAGCTGGACTATAGGTGTGCACCACCATGCCCAGCTAAGTTTTGTATTTTTAGTAGAGACAGGGTTTCACTATGTTTCCCAGGCTGGTCTCGAACTCCTGACCTCAAGTGATCTGCCTGCCTCGGTATCCCAAAGTGCTGGGATTACAGGTGTGAGCCACCGCGCCTGGTCAGGAGTGATTTCCGGAGCTGGTTCATGATCAGAGCAGAGGAGGCCTGGAGGGCATTTCAGATCCCTTCCATTTCAAAATCTCTGACCCTGCATATTGTTTCAGCTCCACGAGTGAATAAATTCCTCCTCAAGTGGACAAATTACTCCCCTAATTAGTCCTCAGTGAGCCAAGGGTCTCAGAAAGCAACGGTCAAAGATTTCTAAAACAGAGCATCATGTTTTCAATGAAAGTGTATCTATTTCTTTAAAATAGGTAATCATGATAGCTACAGTTTATTGAGAACCTACTGTGAGCCAGATATTGGGCCAAGCATTTTATATATTTTATCTCATGTTCTCTGAATAACTGAAAAAGATAGTGCTCTCATTTAACTGATTTAAAAAACCTAAGGCTCAGAGAAGGTAAGCGACTTGCTCAAGGCTGCACAGGAAATAAAAGCCCCAGTCTGTGTGAATCCAAACCCCATGCTCCCTACCACCCCTAACACTGTGCAGGTGGCAGGGGGTCTCTGCTTCCTGAGGGACATCATATACAGGCTAGACTGGCCTCCAGAAAGTTTTAAGAAGACTGGAAACTGAACTCAAGGGCTCTCCAATGTCTTCTAGAGGATTAAAGATCCTTAACTCTTTTAAAAAGCATGTCTTGTGGGAGAGTTCACAGCCAGTTGTAGCAAAAAAATATTTTAAAAGAAAAAAAAACATTTCGAGGTTAGGCACGGATGCCCACGCCTATAATCCCAACACTTTGGAAAGCCGAGGCAGGAGGACTGCTTGAGGCCAGGAGTTCAAGACCAGCTTGGGAATGTAACAAGATCCCCCCCCAAAAAAAAAAAAAAATCTAAACAAAATTAGCTGGGCATGGTGGTGTGGGCCCGTAGTCCCAGCTACTCGGGAAGCTGGGGTAGGAGGGTCACTTGGGCCAGAGGCCACAGCAAGCTTTGATCACATCACTGCACTCTGGCCTGAGCAACAGAGCCAAGACCCTGTCTCAAAAAACAAACAACTATTTCTGGATCCTCAATGGATTCTTGGGGTGTCCGGAAAGGCCAGGGACACCTTAGCTATTAACTCACGAATTTTTAGGGAATGGCTCTTTCTAGATCTAGCCCTGTGCTTCTACTTAGCTCATCCTCTTCTTGCAGCTCGAGACTTTGACCTGCAGAAATCCGAGGACATGATCCGGAGGGTAAGCATCTATGATCCCTACTGTCCTGCCTTCTGTGCACTGTGACCCAGGGATTGGTGGCAGAAGGGTAGGGACTCTGGCCCTGTCCCATCCTCCTGCTTCTTCCTTCTTCTTCTCTGGATCCCTTTCTGTGTCAGACCCAAGCTCCTGTCTCCATCCCTAGGTCTATGGGTATGCTCTGGTGGGATCTTAGTGACTGTGGGCAGAGGGACCTAGCCTGGTGTCCCCAGGTTCCTGCAGAATCCTACAGCTCTTGCCATGTTCCTGCAGCACATGGCGTTCCGGAAGCAACAAGACCTGGACAACATCCTCTCGTGGCAGCCCCCCGAGGTGAGCCTCGAGCAGCATCCCCCAGGCCGTTTGAGACCCCTCACCCCTGACCTCATCTTCCACCCACCACATCCAGCCACCTGATGGAGTAGGGACCCAGCCTGGTGAGCTGGATTGAGTCAGGACCTTACCCACACCTCCAGGTCATCCGGTTGTATGACTCGGGAGGTCTGTGTGGCTACGACTACGAAGGCTGCCCTGTGTACTTCCACATCATCGGGTCCCTTGACCCCAAGGGTCTCCTGCTATCGGCCTCCAAGCAGGACCTGATCCAGAAGCGCATCAAGGTCTGCGAGCTGCTTTTGCATGAGTGTGAGCTGCAGACTCAGAAGGTGAGCAGCTGGGGTGGGGTGGGTCTCATCTGTCTGCTGGGTGGCACCAGGACCAGAGAGGGGTGGTGCCCTGCCCCCTCCCAGCCCTCAGCACTCAGGGCTCTAGTGGAATGTGGGTTTCTCCCACCCTTAGCCACCCATAAAGGTGAGGTGTTTTCCATCTGTCTGGAAAACACTATGGGCTGCCAGAGGGTGGGATGGCAGAAAGGCGGGTAGAGGTGCCCAAGTCTGTCTGGCCAGGATCTCCTGGCTGGAGCTGTTGTCTGACCTGTATGGCGGCTCTGTCCCAAGCAGCTAGGCAGTAAGATCGAGACGGCACTGATGGTGTTTGACATGGAGGGGCTGGGCCTGAAACACCTGTGGAAGCCAGCTGTGGAGGTCTACCAGCAGGTAAGGTGCACAGCTGGCTTGAGGCTGGTGTGGGTGGAGACTCCCAGCTGTGAGGCTTAGCTGTGAATTACTGTGAGAATCCAATGAGATAGAGGGGTGGGGATACCCTGCAGGGGCTCCACTAGACCAGCCAGTGATGCTGGCCTGGAGTCTACCCTCCAAGGAGAAGGAGGAGCAAGATGAAACCAAAGAGGCCAGGCACGTGGCTCATGCCTCTAGTCCCAGCACTTTGGGGGGCCAAGGCTGGAGGATCACTTGAGTCCAGGAGTCCAAGATCAGCCTGAGCAACACAGGTGAGATGTTGTCTCTATTAATAATAATAACAGGCTGGGCGCAGTGGCTCATGCCTGTAATCCCAGCACTTTGGGAGGCCGAGGCGGGTGGATCACGAGGTCAAGAGATTGAGACCATCCTGGTCAACAAGGTGAAACCCTGTCTCTACTGAAAATACAAAAATTAGCTGCACATGGTGGTGTGCGCCTGTAGTCCCAACTACTCGGGAGGTTGAGGCAGGAGAATTGCCTGAACCCAGGAGGCGGAGGTTGCGGTGAGCCGAGATCGTGCCATTGCACTCCAGTCTGGGTAACAACAGCGAAACTCCATCTCAAAAAAAAAACCAAAATAATAATAATAATAATAACAGTAATTTTTTTTTTGAGATGGAGACTCTCTCTGTCACCCAGGCTGGAGTGCAATGATGCGATCTCAACTCACTGCAACCTCTGCCTCCCGGGTTCAAGCGAGTCTCTTGCCTCAGGCTCCTGAGTAGCTGGGACTACAGGCACCTGCCACCACGCTCGGCTAATTTTTGTATTTTTAGTAAAGACAGGGTTTTACCATGTTGACCAGGCTGGTCTCAAAACTCCTGACTTCATGATCCACCCACCTTGGCTTCCCAAAGCACTGGGAATACAGGCATGAGCCACCACGCCTGGCCAATAATAATATTTTTTTACATCAGTCCAGTGCAGTGGCACATGCCTGTAGTCCTAGATACTTGAGTGACTGAGGCAGGAGGATCTCTTGAACCCAGGAGTTCAAGGTTGCAGTAAGCTGTGATTGTGCCACTATGCTCCCCTGGGTAGAGAACTGTCTCGAGAACAAATAACAAAACAAAGAAGAATAACAGAGGGGAAGGTAGGGTGGGCCAGGGATGGGCCTCTTGTCTCAGCAGCATCAGAGGCCACAGAATCCGTGGGCGGGAGGTGATGGAACAGAGCCCCAACCAGACTCATCTTGACTCCACAGTTTTTTAGCATCCTGGAAGCAAATTATCCTGAGACTCTGAAGAATTTAATTGTCATTCGAGGTAAGCCCACCACTATGCCAGCTAATTTTTGTATTTTTCGTAGAGACGCGGTTTCACCATGTTGGCCAGGCTGGTCTTGAAACTCCTGGCCTCCAGTGATCTGCCTGCCTCAGCCTCCCAAAGTGCTAGGATTACAGGGATGAGCCACCGCGCCCGGCCTGAGACAACCTTTATTGAAGCCAGGAACTGTGCCAGGTGTTATATATACCATTATTTCACCTTCATCTTCCAGTTAACTACACTGAGACTTAGAGAGGGTGGGTAACTGGCTGAAGGTCACACCGCAGAGAGTGGCAGAATCCATATCTGTCCAACTCCGGTCCAGCACCTGCTCTTGACTGTGGCTCTGTATCCCCACATCCTCTCTGGTCCAGCTTCTCAAGAGATTTTCACGTGTTTCAGCCCCCAAACTGTTCCCCGTGGCCTTCAACTTGGTCAAGTCGTTCATGAGTGAGGAAACACGCAGGAAGATTGTAATTCTGGGAGGTGAGTGACTTGGCGTCTGGTTATGTTCATCTGCCTGGGAAGCAGAGGTTGACACTAAAGACGCTGTTTCTCCCTGGCTCGTCCTCTACTTGGGCACTGGCCCTGGCCTGACCCTAGTCATCTTCTACACACATGGGTCCTAGACCATGGGCTGGGAGCTACATAAAGGTCTTTGGTGCTCTCAGGAGTAGGCGGCCAGGGGAGCATACCCAGGACATATCAGGTCCCCTCACCAGGCTCACCCCTCTGCCTTCTGTCGAGTCTTGGAGTCCCTCTTGCTCCCATGCAGACAACTGGAAGCAGGAGCTGACGAAATTCATCAGCCCTGACCAGCTGCCCGTGGAGTTTGGGGGGACCATGACTGACCCCGATGGCAACCCCAAGTGCCTGACCAAGGTACAGGGTGCCCAGAGGATGGGGAGGGAGGGGAGAAGCTGTGATCTAGTGCCCACTCACACCCCTCACCCACAGATCAGCTACGGGGGTGAGGTGCCCAAGAGCTACTACCTGTGCAACCAGGTAAGGCTGCAGTACGAGCACACGGAGTCCGTGGGTCGAGGCTCCTCCTTGCAGGTGGAGAACGAGATTCTGTTCCCAGGCTGTGTGCTCAGGTAGGGATGACAGCCACCCCACACCTGGGCACAGCTGGGAAGGTGCCAGAGCCCAGGCAGGGGGTCGCCAGTGGGGCTCTGTCCACTGCAGGTGGCAGTTCGCATCGGATGGTGGGGACATCGGCTTTGGGGTTTTCCTGAAGACCAAAATGGGGGAACGGCAGAGGGCTCGGGAGATGATGGAGGTGCTGCCCAGCCAGCGCTACAACGCCCACCTGGTGCCCGAGGATGGGAGCCTCACCTGCATCAAGGCTGGTGTCTGTAAGAGCTCCAGGGTTTACTGGAATTGTTTTCCTTGCCATCTACCCTCTGCTTGCCCTCTCTTTCCAGCTCTCGGGAGGGGTGTGGGGATCTCTGTAAGCTCCAGGGGAGCTGGCTTCAGGGCCATGGATGGGATGAGTGGCCCTTACATGTGGGTATGAGGGCAGACTCATTGTGGGGGAAGAGCTGGTGTTCAGAACCTAGGGCCTTGGGTCAGCTGAGAAGACCCTATACCGGGCTCATTGGGCTAAGAGACAGGTAAGTAAGAGGCCATGGACTTAGAGTCAGGGGTCTTGGCAAGGGAACCACCCAGTTGCATGAACCACCCCACTCCAGGAATCCCAAAGAGGTGACTCCCTCCAGATGTTTATCCTTCACTCCCAGGCCTCCCAGGCCAGATGCAACTCAGTCAGCTTCACCAGAAGCAGCATTGCTGAGGGACACCACTGCCCTTCCATGTCTATTGGGAACAGAGCTAGAAGAAGGGGAGCCCAAGGCTGATTTCCTATGGAGGAGAAGGGTGTTGCTTATGCTTAAGTCAACACATGATCTCGTTTCATTCTGTGGAAAGGGAGCCTTAGGAGAGTAGAGACAGAGAAGTCTGCACAACTCATCAGATCTGAGTTCATGTTGGACCTTGGCATTGAAGGACGTGCCTTCTGCAAGAAGAAAAAGTGACTTACGTAGCCCAGCCCTTTCCTCCTGGGGTGGCAGGGCTCCTCCCTGGGTTAGGACATCAGGATAAGGGAATCCCAGTTCCTCCCCTCCCTTGCTCTGTGACCACTGAAAGATCCTATCACCTCTCTAAGCCTCAGTTTTCTCATCTGTAAAATGAGGATGGCATTGCCTTCCTCATGGGGCTGCTTTGAGGATTTAAGGCACTATAATGTGTGATGGAATGTGTGATGGAGAGGCCCTAGAGCTACTACCTGTGCAACCAGGACGCAGTACGGGCATACCAGTCCGTGGGCTGCAGCTCCTCTCTGCAGGTGGAGCCCAAGATCCTGTTCCCAGGCTGCAGGCTTCCTGGCTGTGTGCTGTTCTGTGTGCTGGTAACTGTCATGAGTCCTTTATGTAGCGCAAGCCACCATGGGATGGCAGTGAGCAACAGGCTTAGGGAGGGACACAGGCTGGCCCTCAGGCTCCGCCTACCATCCTGGACAGCTCGCTCCCAAGGGTTCCAGGGATGCAGCCGTGCAGGGCTCGCTGTTCCTGCAAATGCGCGGGGTTCGTGCTCCCTGATCTCCTCTCTGTCACTGCAGATGTCCTGCGCTTTGACAACACCTACAGCCGGATGCACACCAAGAAGCTCAGCTATACTGTGGAAGTGCTGCTTCCCGACAAGGCCTCTGAGGAGACATTGCAGAGTCTCAAGGCGGCGAGACCCTCCCCAACACAGTGAAGACCCTAGCCACCTCAGCCTGTGTTTTCCAACCCCTTTGCACCCACCCCCGATCCCTGCCGTCCCAGGCAGGGTGGTGCTGAAGGTGGCTGCAAAGAGTCACCTGTCCCACGTCACCATCTCAGCTCATCGTGGGCCCACCTGCCACAGAGACCAAGCTGTAAGGGGCCACCAGGGCATTGACCATGCTGAAGATTCAGACAGGAACCTCTTTTCCTGTTCTCAGAGAATGGGGATGAGAATGAGACACTGAAGATGACCCAGTCCACTGAAGATGGGTCCTGCCTGCAGAAGCTGCCCTTCCATCCATCCCAACAAGGTCCAGCCACCCAGGACTCGCCCATGCCTGGAGTTCCAGCTTCAGGGGGTGTGCGTGGCTCCCAGGCTCTGTGGGCATCACTGCTTCAGGCCTGAAAAGCAGAGAAGCCCCGTTCTCTGCACGTAGGAGGTCAGCAGGGGTGGGCAGGCCCAGCTGGAGGCAGCTGGGTAATGAGATGGGGCAAGGATGAGGGTCCTGGTTTCAGCAGAGCATTGGGGCCCATCCAAGTTTGTTCTGCCACCACTGGATGGAAAATTGGAAATGGGCTGGGTGCAGCGATTCACACCTATAATCCCAGCACTGTGGGAGGCCGAGGTGGGCAGATCATCTGAGGTCAGGAGTTCGAGACCAGCCTGACCAACATGGCAAAACCCTGTCTCTACTAAAAATACAAACATTAGCCAGGCATGGTGGTGTACACCTGTAATCCCAGCTACTCAGGAGGCTGAAGCGAGAGAATTGCTTGAACCCAGGAGACAGAGGTTGCGGTGAGGTTGCCACTGCATTCCAGCCTGGCGACAGAGCCAGATTCCGTCTCAAAATAAACAAACAAATAAATGAAAGAAAATTGGAAATGGAGAGGTGGGGTCAGGCAGAGGTAACCATCAGAGGAAAAGCCACGCTCAGCCTTTCAGTTGAGTGGGTAACGACTGAGTCTCCAGGGAATTCCCAGTGCCCTCCCCTCCACACCTGCTGTGATCCCGCCAACATTTAGCTTTGATTCTTCTGGCAGCTGCACCATTCATGGATGTGTATACATAGTCTGGACAGGTGCTTTGCTGCTAGAAACAGCAAACCACTTAAATTCAATTCCTAAAGCCAGTGCCATGAGGCATCCCTGCGCCAACTGGGTGTTTGAGCAGATTGGCAAGAAAAAAAATGGCTGTGCTGGCTCCATGGAGATGGCCTGGGCTGTCGGGCAAGAGTCACAGAACATCCCCATCTCCAGGGGCTGCCTCTGCATCCGAGATGTGACAGGCATCCCCCGACCCTGTTGCACTGCATGGCCACCCCGTCTGCAGCTTCCCCAGATGCAGTGACATCTGGAGGGCCAGAGGCACCTGGGCTTCCAAGGCAGGCTGTGACTGACTGGAGTTGGGAGGACCCTGTTCTAAATGTCACAAGGCCCACCTTGTCATGATGGGGGATTATAATGCCTCACTTCAGCCTTGACGTCCTCCGCCTAAAAACCAGGGGTTCCTAGACTTGAACTCTGATTCTTGTCCATGTAACTACCCACAGTCAATTTTCTGCCATCAGCACAGCCTTGTCTGGTTTCCTTGCAGGTAGCAAGGATTGCTCTGCCCCCTGTACAAGGGTTTCCAAGGCTCTGATCACAGGGCTGTGATCACAAATACGGGCTGCCTGGGGGGTGGCAAACAGAAATGGGGTCAGGTGCAGGCACCAGTGACAGAATTGCAGTGAGCACAGGAGTCGCCTGCAGAGGTGAAAGCAGAATCTCCTACCAAGCCAGGACAGGAGGGCACACTGGGAGCTCAGCAGGGGCACATGTCCTCAGCAACCCCATTTCTAATTCTTCTTCTTTTTTTTTTTTTTTTTTGAGACAGAGTGTCTGTTGCCCAGGCTGGAGTGCAGTGGCGTGATCTCAGCTCACTGCAACCTCCACCTCCTGGGTTCAAGTGATTCTCCCTCCTGCTGCAGCCTCCTGAATAGCTGCGACTACAGACATGCACCACTACATCTGGCTGATTTTTGTATTTTTAGTAGAGATGGAGTTTCACCATGTTGGCCAGGCTGGTCTCAAACTCCTCACCTCAAGTTATCTGCCTGCCTCAGCCTCCCAAAGTGCTGGGATTACAGTTGTGAGCCACCATGCCCAGCCCTCATTTCTAATTCTTAACACTGTCACTTCTTTACAAAACTGAAAAAAAACAAGTCACCCAAAGAGGGGCAGTGGGTTGCCCAAAGTTTGTTTCTTCATTCATGTATTGATTTTTTTTTTTTTTTGAGGCGGAGTATCGCTCTTGTTACCCAGGCAGGAGTGCAATGGCGCAATCTCGGCTCACCGCAACCGCCGCCTCCTGGGTTCAAGCAATTCTCCTGCCTCAGCCTCCTGAGTAGCTGGGATTACAGGCATGCACCACCATGCCCAGCTAATTTTTTGTATTTTTAGTACAGACGGGGTTTCACCATGTTGACCAGATGGTCTCGATCTCTTAACCTCGTGATCCACCCGCCTCGGCCTCCCAAAGTGCTGGGATTACAGTCATTCATTGATGTTAATTTAACTTTTTAAAAGCAGAGACAGAGGTCTTGCTATGTTGCCCAGGCTGATCTTGAACTCCTGGGCTCAAGCCATCCTCCCTGCGTCAGCCTCTCAAAGTGCTGAGGTCACAGGTGTGAGCCACTGGGCCTAGCCTGCTTTTGGATGTTTATTGAGTATCTGCCCAGCACCAGGCACTGCAGGCTCTGGGGACACTGAGAACTCTGGGCTGACCCAACTGTGTTAACTGGAGGTTCGAACTCATGGAAGGAGGGAGGTGGAAGTGACACCAGTGATCAGTTATCAAGTGGGTACATTGCCACCATGGGTGCTTGGTGAGGGGCAGGAGCTGAATTCTAATTTTTGCATTTTTAATAGAGACAGGGTTTCACCATGTTGGTCAGGCTGGTCTTGAGCTCCTGACCTCAAGTGATCCACCCACCTCTGCCTCCCAAAGTGCTGGGATTACAGACATGAGCCACCATGCCAGGCCCAGTAGATAGACTTTTTTTTTCAAGTTTGACTAGGCATTTCTCCATGGATGATATACAGCCTTTTGCACCTGCCTCTTGGTACCCAAGTTCTTGTCCAGCATCCAGGAAGATTCAGGTCACACGAATAAATTGAAGAGCGGTGAATCTGGAGGATTATATTGAGCAGTGTTAAGTGGCTCTCAGCAGGATGGAGAGCTGGAACGGGGACGGAGTGGGAAGGTGATCTTTCCCTGGAGTCTGTCTGTCCCTGGTGGAACTCTTCTCCGAAGTCTCAGGGTCAAGCCATCTCCCTGAAGTCAAACTGCTTCTCTCTAACACCTATGTTGAGAAATGCTGAGTATATGATAAAATATATTGTTTGCTAAGAACGATGGCAAGGAAAACCTGGCCGCCCTCCCGCCTAAGTGGAAAACTACTTGGGGCATTCTAACGTAGCAAGACAGTCTACATAGATCATACACCTGTTAAAACAATTCTTTAAGCACCGGATGTGTGATCCTGCCCCCATGGCTGCCTCGTGGAGAATATAGTATCAGTGGTAAGCAGGCCCCAGCTTATTTTTGGTCCATGAGAAAATACAGAACACCTGTTTGTTAATAATAATCACCTGTTCAGAGAGACTAAATCCGTGGGTCAGCATCTGCTCAAGGCCCTCACCCCAGAATGCTGTCAGCCTCGGAGGCTCTCAGCTCGGAAGGCTGCTGGCCATCCCCCACAACCTGGATAGTCCCACTTTGCTGTTCTATCTGGATCTCTGCTTCTTAATGCCTCAGCGCCGCCTGGGTGGGGGGTCTCTCTGGTAAGCTGGCTGCTGCTTCTCTTCTCTCCTCTGCTGCTCCACCCCACCACTGTGCCACCCCTCTGCCAGTGGAGCCTGGGGTCTTGACGGGTAAAAGATGGGGGATGGGGCAGGCCAGAAGACAACATTTGAGCTGGAAAAGAGACAAAGTGAGGATACTTTGGACCACAGTCCCAGGCTGGAGGGTGGGGTCCTCTCCAGGGAACTTGTCCTTTTCTGCCTAGCATTTCCCTGCCTCCTGTCCACATCAACACCGTCCTCCCCACTCAGCCTTCCAGGTAGCTGGAACCACAGGCACACACCACTACAACCAGCTAATTTTTTGTATTTTCTTGTAGAGATGGCGTTTTACCATGTTGCCCAGGCTGGTCTCAAACTCCTGGGCTTAAGCTGTCCACCTACCTTGACCTCCTAAAGTGCTGGGATTACAAGTGTGAGCCTGGCCCGTTATTTATTATTTTGTGGAGATGGGGTCTCACCCTGTAACTCAGGCTGGAGTGCAGTGACACAATCATAGCTCACTGCAGCCTCAAACTCGTAGACTCAAAGGATCTTCCCACTTCAGCCTCCTGGGCCACTGAGACTACGGCCATCGCACTCTGCTCAGGAGGAGGATTTTCATTCATTAAAAATAAAATTATTTATAGCTTCAGACAAGGCCTCTTTTTCCATCCTTACCCCTTTCCTCTCTTTCCTTAAGCCCTTTTCCTATTTCTTTTTTTAATTTCCATAGGTTTTTGGAGAACAGATGATGTTTGTTACACAGATAAGTTCTTTCGTGGCGATTTCCGAGATTCTGCTGCACTCATCAGAGCAGTGTTCACTGCGCCGTGTGGTCTTTTAGCCCTCAGCCTCCTTCCCTTTCCTCCCAGTCCCGAAAGTACATTCTATCATTTGCACGCCTTTGCATCTTCATAGCTTAGCTTCCATCCTTTTTTTTTTTTTAAAAATACTTCACAATCCCCTGCTCATGACTTTGATCTTTTCCGAATCTGCTTCCTCTAAGAAGTAGCTTTTGCCAAACACGTTTCTTAGCAGATCCCAAAATGTAATGAAGAGAATGATGGGATATTTGTGTCCGTTCTTGTAATATATTATTATTCCTTGGTTCTAGAAAAATAGATTTCAGGAAATAGTGTGCTATTTGCAGTTTGATGTTGACTGGGTGCTTGAGTGAGCATATTTTCTTTTCTTTTCTTTGAGACAGTGTCTCACTCTGTCACCCAGGCTGGAGTACAATGTTGTGATCTCGGCTCACTGCAACCTCCGTCTCCTGAGTTCAAACAATTCTCCTGCCTCAGCCTCCTAAGTAGCTGGGATTAAAGGTGCTTGCCACCACACCCAGCTAATTTTTTGTATTTTTAGTAGAGATAGGTTTTTGCCACGTTGGCCAGGCTGGTCTCAAACTCCTGATCTCAAGTGATCCACCTGTCTTGGCCTCCCAAAGTGCTGGGGTTATAGGTATGAGCCCCCATGCCTGGCTTTTTGTTTTTTTGGAGACATTATCTCCCTGTGTCATCCAGGCTGGAGTGCAGTGGTGTAATCTCAGCTCACCAGTGGTGCAGTCTTGCCACCTCCTGCGTTCAAGTGATTCTCATGCCTTGGCCTCCCGAATAGCTAGGTTACAGGTACCCACCACCATGCCCGACTATTTTTTGCATTTTTTTGAAGCAATTTGTTGGGGGGTGGGGGGGGGGGTCTCACCATGTTGGCCAGGCTGGTCTTGAACTCCTGACCTCAAAGGATCCACCCACCTTGGACTCTCAAAGTGCTGAGATTACAGGTGTGAGCCACTGCACCCAGCACCTGGTTCCTTTTCGCTGGGCTAGAATAGCTGAGGTAGCCCATGCTACCCTCTTCTGCCTGGGACCCAGCTGGCATTCTTTGGTTTGTTTTCTCTAAGCTCTAGCCTGTGCTATCCAATACAGTAGCCACGTGTGGCTGTTTAAATTTAAGTCAACTAAAATCACAAAGTTAATTCATTCCTCATGTGCTAGAACTAAACTGGAGTCCGCTCACTGGCACAGTAAAACCAGATATCCATTCTGAGATGTTTGCAGCAGCAGAAAAGAAAGTGTGTATTTGCAAGGTACCCAGCAAAGAAGACCAGACCGCTAAGGCTTAACCCCTGACCTCCCGATGGTTTGCATGTAAGGCTTTTTAAGGCAGGGGTAAATTTTAGGAAGGCGGAAGTTATGCGTTGGTCTTGGCCTAAAAGGGTGGGGTATCTTGCAGCTGGGGCTTAGGTAATAGGGAGAGTCAAAGTTTTCTTATTTGCAGTTGGTTAAAGTAAAGATTTGTTTAAAAATTTGGGGTCAGCAGAAAAGAATGTTAATTTGGGTTGGTGGATGTGACTTCCTCTAAGCCCTTCAGGAAGAAATTTACAGCAGAGTTCAGTCTTCAGCGGATCCTTTTTGGGAGGGGTCCAGGTTTCTGCAAAACAACTCAGAACCCTATGCTAAGATGTTGACTTTAGTTGCTATAGAGGAACCAAACATCTGACTCTAACTTCCTTGGCTGTTGTTTTAGGCTACTGTTACCTTCTTGTTTATCAAGTTGCTTGTTTACTTCTCAGGGCAGGTAGAGGCTTGGAATTTTCCTGGAAGGAACTCGAGATTTTCCTTTATTTCCATCCTTGTGGGGAGCCCAGCAGGCCCCTCAGAGGGATCCCTGCTCCATCTAACTCAGCTGCACTAACCATACTTCAAGGGCTCACTTGGTCACCGTTTGTGGCTCGTGGCTACTGCACTGGCCACACAGCGCGTTTCCCTCTGTCGGACGGCACTGTTCTAGAGAATGCAACCGGCTTCACAAGCCGCAGCCTCAGCTATGCTGGGATGACCCTTGTGTCTCTGGACAAGGGGAGGGGAGATGGGGAAGGGCTGGGTGAGGCTCCAGCTGGGGCCTGTTATCTGGTACCCCGCTTTTCCAGAGAGGAGAGGCCTGGTGGCTCAGCCTGGCTTGGCAGTATCTCCTCCTGACCCCATTGGCTGGGGTGACAGGAATGACCCTCCCTTGCTGCACCCACTGGCTATTAGCTTCCCTCACCACCCCAACCTGGGGTCCCCGCTGGAGGGGTCCTCTCCTACCCCAGGTGACCTTTTTCTCGGAAAGTGTTGGAGGAACACTGTCTCTGTAGCTGTCTCATGCTGTTGTCTGTTACTGATAAAAAGATAAGAAAACCTGGTACTTTCTATTTTTAAAAAAATGAATTTGTGGTATATGAATTATATCACAATTTTTTTTTTTTTTTTTTTGAGATGGAGTTTCACTCTTGTTATCCAGGCTGGAGTGCAATGGCGCGATCTTGGCTCACCACAACCTCCGCCTCCTGGGGTTCAGGCAATTCTCCTGCTTCAGCATCCCGAGTAGCTGGGACTACAGGCGTGCGCCACCATGCCCAGCTAATTTTTGCATTTTTAGTAGAGACGGGGTTTCACTATGTTGACTAGGATGGTCTTGATCTCTTGACCTCGTGATCCACCCGCCTCGGCCTCCCAAAGTGCTGGGATTATAGGCGTGAGCCACTGCGCCCGGCCCACAATTTTTTTTTAAAGGAGATGAAACTGCCCAATGGTAAAAGAAAGTGAACTGTCAGGTGCTACTGGAAGCACCGCCGGGGCTCTGGAGAGGTGCACCCCAATCCCTTTCCATCTCCCCACAATGCTTTTACTTTTTTGAAGGATAAGGTTTCACTCTGTCACCCAGGCTGGAGTTCAGTGGCCCTACCAAAGCTCATTGCAGCCTCAAACTCTTGGGCCCAGGTGATCCTCCTGCCTCAGCCTCCCAAGTAACTGGTACTACAGGCATGCCCCATCACGCCCAGCTAATGTTTTAATATTTTGAAGAGACAGGGTCTCACCATGTTGCCCAGGCTGATCTCAAACTCCTGGCCTCCAGCAATCCTCCCCTATCAGCCTCTCAAAGCACTGGGATTATAGGTGTGAGCCTCAGCCCCTGGCCTCCACCTCACATCTGTGTGGTCTAAGTGCCCCCGCTCACCTCCTCCCAGTGATGCCTGCCCTGTGTTGAGACTCTTGTACCAGAGGGGCCCCTCTGGACCTACCCAACTGCTTCTGGCAAGATCCATCCTGGTGGAGGTGTGATCAGGGTTGGGCTGGAAGAGGCAGCTCTTTCAGATTTCCTAATAGCCAGCTGGAAGGAGGGGTTCTGCTGTGGGGTGCAGGCGGCTCTGTCTATCCACCTGTGGTTCTTTGTTTAGGTTGTGGTTGCCATGGTCCCCTGAGAGCTTGGTAAATGAGAAGCCAAACACACATGGGACCTTGCTGGGAGACAGCGTCCTCTGGGGTTTGGGGAGGTGGGGGGTGGGGAACTCTAGTTCCCCAAGGCCTTTGTTTCAAGGCAGGCAAAATTAACCCTGCTGGCCCCAAGACACCCTGCAGCCTGAATCCAGCTCGAATCCAGGTAGATGCAGGCTTCCACACAATGATGATTTAGACCATTTATTGAGCACTTTATTCTGGGCACAATATGAAGCCCTTCAGGGGAAAGCAGGGCGGGCTATCTAATCTAGAGTCGGACAGGTTTGGGTTCAAGTTCTGGCTCCTCGTTTACTGGCTGTGTGACCTCAGAAAAGTTGCTTGATCTCTCTGAACTTCTATTTCTTTACAGCTCTAAAATGGGAATACCCATACCTGCTCCTGAATGATTTGATGATGATATAAAGCTCCCAGCACAGAGGGAGTGCTCCCCAGTGGAAGACTGTGAGCTCTATGCAAGGCGGGTCCTAATCTGTCTTGTTTGCTGTAATCTCCCCACCACCCCCTCCACATGCTTCTCACTTTCCCACCTCCACGCCTTTGCCCGTGCCATCCCCTCCACTTGGGATGCCCTTTATATGCCCTCCATAAATCAAAATCCTTCCTTTCTTCAAGGCCTGGCTCAAATGCCACCTGTATGACATGTGGGTGACTTCTGTGCTTGGGCGCAGAAGTAGGGCAGAAGCTTCTAGAGCCAAGACTAGGGTACAGCTTAGCACAACAGCAGAGCAGTTAAATGCATGAGTTTACCCCTGGATAAGTCACTTAACTTCTCTATACCTCAGTTAGTTTATCTTTATAACGGGCTTAATAACAGAACCTACCTAATACCACAGGTATGTTCTGAGATTTAAATAAGGTAATGCACTGCCTTTTCCATTTTTTTTTTTTTTTTTTTTGAGACAGAGTTTCGCTCTTATCACCCAGACTGGAGTGCAATGGCACGATCTCGGCTCATCGCAACCTCCGCCTCCTGGGTTCAGGCAATTCTTCTGCTTCAGCCTGCTAAGTAGCTGGGACTACAGGCTGCGCCACCATGCCCAGCTAATTTTTATATTTTTAGTAGAGACGGGGTTTCACCATGTTGACCAGGATGGTCTTGATCTCTTGACCTAGTGATCCACCCACCTCGGCCTCCCAAAATGCTGGGATTACAGGCTTGAGCCACCACACCCGGCCTGCCTTTTCCTTTTTTGAGATGGAATCTTGCTCTGTCACCCAGGCTGGAGTGCAGTAGCACAATCTCAGCTCACTACAACCTCTGCCTCCTGAGTCCAAGTCATTCTCCTGCCTCAGCCTCCCAAGTAACAGGCATTACAGGCACGCCCAGCTAATTTTCGTATTTTTAGTAGAGATGGGGTTTACTGTGTTGGCCAGTTTGGTCTTGAACTCCTGACTTCAGGTGATCCACTTGCTTCTGCCTCCCAAACTGCTGGGATTATAGGTGTGAGCCACTGTACCAGGCCAAAACGAGGTCATGCATGTAATGAGACCCCATCTCAACAAGAAATTGGCAGGGTGTGATGGAATGTGCCTGTAGTCTGGGCTACTCAGGGGGCTGAGCTAGGAGGATTGACTGAACCTGGGGAGACTGAGGCTGGAGTGAGCCGAGATCTTGCCTCTGCACTCCAGCCTGGGCAACAGAGTGAGGCCCTGTCTCAAAAATAAAATAAAACGGTCAACCTGCACCATCTGATATGATAGCCATGAGCCAGATAGAACAATTTAAAGTAAAATGTATCAAAATCCAATTCAATTGAAACTTCAGTTCCTCAGTCACACTAACCATATTTCACATGTAACTAGTGGCTACCAGATATGTCTGATAGGATTCCCAGACAGAAAATGTCTATCACAGAGCTCTACCGAAACGCACCGTAGCTTCTCCCAGTGATGTCTGCCCTGTGTCGCGGCTGTGGCTGATGAGGATTTGTGAACATAGTAGAGTGCTTCAAATCTGTGATCTGGGTCGGGAAAAGGCTCCCAATTCCTGAGGACACCCCAACCCTCCCTCCCGGCTCTCCTTTCGCAGTCTCTGATGCCCCCAGAAGTAACTAGCACACCTAGGGATTAGGGTAAGAAAAGAGACTGGTGAGAAATGGGCAGGATTAGTGGCTCGGGAGAGGGCAGTGGAGGAACCCAACCTCTGTACACGGCTGGCCTTGCAGGAAGTGGGTGTAGACAGCAGCTGGGGCTTTGCAGAAATTGAGGCTGGAATGTGAAATGGGGCAGGGCTGGGGTGTAGAGAATTATCTAATTGTTCCTGAGTACATGCCCCAGGCACCCCAGGCAGAGGGAAATGGACAGCGTCAGCCCCACCTTCTCCTTCTGGACTCAGTTCTATCAGGAGCCCGGAACAAGAAAGATGTCCCGAGAAGATATCTGGTACTGACCAACATCCAATAGTCTAAAGAGGCCCTGGAGCAGGGGACCTGGTAGGGCCGAGGCTAGCCCAGAGGTGGCTTCAGTGCATGCAAACACCCACAAGGCCAAGAAGTGGCCATGTGGCCATGCTGCAGTCTCAAGCTGATGGTTTCTTTAGAGAGAGTCATCAATAACAGGGCCTCTCCCTTCCTGGAGCTGAAGCTCTGGGGGGACCAGCTGGGCTGAAGGGGAGTATCCTTTAGATGTGCACAATCCTTGACAGTCCCTACGCCTCATTAGATCTTCCCTTCAACCACATAAGGAGGGCAGGGCAAGCGTTAACAGCTCCATTTTATAAATGAAGCAAGTGACATTCTAAAGATGCCATCTGTTCTCTTCTTGACTGTGGACATTTGTTACAAAAGAAGAAGCTAAGCCTCCCACCCCCAATAAAGTAAATGAACTCATTTCTACACTGACCAAGCCCCAGAATCTGACCCTGTCAGAGCTGGGTAAAGGCGGGTGATCTTTGCAGAATCCTGAGTGAGGAAGACAGGCTCAGGGAGAAAGGGTACCCACAAGGAGTGGTCCTCATTGCCCTGCAACTCCCCTTTCTCTAGGTCAGTGGGCACTGTAGGCCTAGGAGCGTCAGTGGGTTCTGTAGCCACTCACCTTGGGCTCCATGGCCACGGGAGACCAGCCTCCCTTCCTCCCAGTGGCCTCCTCCTGGCAGGGGACTTTGGCACACGCTCCATGCCCGCTTGTACCCCCAGATCTGTCCCCGAGCCAAGCACGGAACTTCACTTAATCCCAATTATGTAATGTGCAATTTGAACAGTTGGCCAAGGAGGAGGTGCTTGGAGCCACACCCAGGAATGGGGGCAAAAGGACCCAGTTGGGTCAGGGCGGACAAACTAGGCTTGGCCTCTTGCCTGTAGTGGTCACCACTCCTCAAGCCTCAGCCAGCACCATGAGCGGCCGAGTCGGAGACCTGAGCCCCAAACAAGCAGAGATCCTGGCCAAGGTGAGAGCCCCTCCTCCTGGAGTTCCGGAAGACCAGGGGAAAGGGGCGGCTGGAACCCTGCCCCACTCAGTCGATTCAGCCAGCCCTTGACATTGTCTCCTTGCTGTTACCTCCCAAAGGGGATAAGCCCCACACTGCCCAGTGACATCAACCCTGTCCAGGGCAGGGGATGAGGGACTAGCGCCACTTCCAGGCAATAGTGTGGGTGGTGCCCACCCAAGGTCAAGGCTGACTTCTCATCCAGGAGCCAGAACCAGAGAGGTTTCCCTGGCAGCCAGGCACCCCCTTCCTCCTTTCCCAGCACCGTAGGTAGGAGCTGAAAGATGCTGCTGGTCCACCCTTTAACCCCTCCCTCCTTGGAATCCTGAAAGATGACTAACATCTTTCAGGATTCAGCCCAAGAGACAGAGCAGAAGAGGACGTATCATTGCTAACCATGTTTTAATAGAAGGTGGGATGAAAAAAAAAGTTTTGGGGGCTAACATACAGAGGGAACTATGAATACCTCCAAACTCCAATCCATTTATTCACTCACTGAGTCATTTATCCAGGCTGAGTGCTGTGGTGTGATCTCAGCTCACTGCAGCCTCCACCTCCTGGGTTCAAGCAATTCTTCTGCCTCAGCCTCCTACGTAGCTAGGACTACAGGCGTGTGCCACCATGTCAGCTAATTTTTATATTTTTAGTAGAGATGGGGTTTCATTATGTCGACCAGGCTGGTCTCAAACTCCTGACCTCAGGTGATCCACCAGCCTCAGCCTCCCAAAATGCTGGGATTACAGGCGTGAGCCACCACGCCCAGCTGGTTTATCCTTTCTTTCATCCACCCATCCATCTTCCTACCCACCTTTCCATCTATCCATCCTTTCTTCTCTTCATCAGCCATCCATTTCTCCTCTGTCCCTTCACTGACTTATCCACATACCCACTCTCCATCCATCCATCCATTCATTGATTTCTTCCTTTTTCTTTCTACCTATCCACTCACCCATCTATTCTTTCTAACCATTTATTCACCCATCTATCCTCCTTCCATTTATCCACCTATCCAGTGATCCATCTCTCCTTCTAGTCAACCATTAACCCATCCTTTCACTGTGGGCCATTTTGCATGTGGGAGGAAAGGAGGGATGATGAAAGCAGCTTTGAGTCTGGCGGCCACGGCTCAACGTGAGAGAGCTGCTTTAACCAGCATCTCTCTTGCCAGTTCCGAGAAAATGTCCAGGATGTGCTTCCGACCCTGCCCAACCCTGATGATTATTTCCTTCTACGCTGGCTCCGAGGTGAGGGCAGAGGTGGGAGAGGTAGGGATCAGGGGGCAGCAAGAGGGGCCTGGTCCAAACTGCTCCAGAATGTCTCATGGCTCTCAGGATCCATCCACACAATCTTGCTTCCCATGTTTGGGTCCAGAGGAGGGAAGCAGGTAGGGGAGCGAGGTCTTACCCAGGCCCCAGTGTCCTCCATAGATCTCCCTGGCCAGGAACAAGACAAGGCCTCTTTCCGGCCTCGCATCTTCTTTCTGTTTTCCCACAGCTCGGAATTTTGACCTGCAGAAGTCGGAGGCTATGCTCCGCAAGGTGAGACCTAGCCACTCTGGAGATTTATAGAGG